CTCTAATTATTTAGGAGTGAAACGACACGCGGGAAAACACTTTTTGGGGGCGATTTTTTCCGGATGCCCTTAAAGAAAGATATCTCAGAGCCAAACAAAAGATTCTTTTTAAGAAGAAGGTCAATTATTTTTTGTTGAAAATCAATTCTTTTAAAACCCGCTATTCTTATTGGTTCAAATTAGGAGAAGAAGATTCATTCTTGTTCTTTTAAAATCTAGAAAGATTTAATCTACGAACACAATTAATTACATATTATTTCATTTGGTCATTCGAAAACTAATTTTTACAAACATCTTATTTCTATGCGAATTTTATTTTAAATTAAGACGAAGATTTTTCGAAATTAATTAAAGTTCAAATTTATTTAAAGAATATAGTATTTTATTTTTACTGTATAAACCTTATATACACTTTAAATCTTCATCTCGTAAAGCAAGAATTTTAATTAAAATAGGTAATGACATTCGCAGAGAGAAACTTTTTTCTTTTCTATTGAGAGAAGAATTAATTAAAGGTATTCATTGAATTTGAGAAGGGAACTTTTGTTATTGTTCTCCGATTGTACAATAACTTTGCCATTCAGTCTTATTTTCACAAGGTTTATAATTCATATCTGAATCTTTTGTCACACAGTGGATAATACTTTTCAACAACTTAAAAATTTTAAACTTCTGTTATTCGACTATAAAATTTAAAAAAAATTGTAACTTTTATTTTTTATCGAATCTTCTTTTCTTTTAAAAACATAATAGAAATTAATTTTTATCTTTTTTTTAGAAGAAACACTATATCAGTTAAATTTGTTTAGCCAAATTTTAATAAAAATTTCTAAAGTTTTTAGTATTCTACAAAACTTATACCTATTCCAAGAGGAGTTATGTCATTGGTTAAGGATTATAAGAAAAAGACCGAAAAATTTATAAATTATTTTTGAAATTGTGATTTGTAACATTATGAAATTTTTTATTATCAAAAACTATATACATTGATTTACAATTTTTCTGTTATAAAACTTACATAGTAATAAATTATAAACGGTTATAGTAACGCATTTTTACGGAGGTAACGCTTTTTATATTCACAACTCTGCAGATTAAATGCATAATAGTTTCCTAATCTATCAATTTTTTCACTCTACCTTCATGGAGGTAACGCATTTTATATTCATCATACCTCAGATTATAAGCATAGGAATTTTCTTGTCTAAAAAATTTCTTTTCACTCTATCAAACAAGAATACCATAAGATTTTATTTTTCTTAAAGTGATAACAGTAGGTAACTTTTTCTGTTCAAACTATCAAAGATTAGGATCATAAGATTTCCCTTTTCACACTCTCCATCTCTAATGGCATAAGATTTTCCTTTTTCATTTGCATATTTACTCGTTTCCTGAAAAGAAGCAAGAGAGAATTCGCAAATTCAGGTCCATAGAAACAGACTAAATGCTGGTAAACATTTTGCTACTCTTATGCTTTGCTTTTTCTCTCTAGCCTCAAAAGTTATCTAAATATTTCTCTCTCTTTCTCTTTAAGCTTCTTAGCGCTTACTTCCTGCAAGTTATGGATGTAAATTTGTTTAAAAATGTAAAAATAATAAAGTTTGTCAAAAATTTGTTTACAATTTTTAATTGTTTATGTAATTAATAATTTAATGCATATGTAAGGTATTTTAATAAAAGAAAATTATATAAGTAGAAAAGATGCAGTTACATACTGGAAAGATTAGTGGAAAATTAATATAATTAGAAGATCTTTAAGCAATGACAATAGAAGTAGATGGTGGAAAAATCAAACCAATCTTCATGACGTCAATCGATAGAGGACCGAATTAAGAATCCTGTTATCATAAAAGTGATATCACATACTATCGATAATTTTAAAAAATATGAACTGGATGCAATCTTTATTTTTACAAATGCTCCTGGGAGATACGATGTCAATAGAGCAGAAAGACTAATCGCGCCTTCGGGTTGAACTCTCTTAGGTATAATTCTTTTACAAGATTACTATGGAAGTCTTCTCAACTCTGCTGGTAAAAGTGTCTACGATGATTTGGAAATAGTCAATTTTCAATATACAGTAGAAGCTCTAGCTGAAATCTGATCCAAGATACAATCTCATTACAGAGTTGATATCACGCAGAAAAAAATTATCTGATCCTGTAGGTTGTATAAATCAATTTTTGTATAAGTCCCATGTTCCTTTTTTATGTAAAATTTAGAGGTTATACGCTTCAAAAAGAACATAAAATATTTTTTGTAATTTTTAATACAATAAATAAAATTTTTATTTGACCACTTTTATATATTAAGGGACACCATAATATAAATATTTTATAAAATTTTTGATACTTGAAAAGAAACTGCTGGATCATCTTTCAATGGTGCTGTCCCTTTAAGTCTTATCTATACAATATACAATCCCCATAGCTACGTATATATCTTCTAATGACACCTTAGAATGAAATGACATGCTGTCAGTAGAAAATACAAACTTTAGAGTTCCATGACAGATTACTCTTGGAAGAATCGTTTCCTGTGATTAATGACATAGTCTCACAGATCACTAAGAACATACCGTTTGTCGAGGATTTAGTTTTAAACATTAATTTACCATTTTAAGATGAAAATGTTCTTTAAAAACAATTTTTTAAAATATAAGTTGAAAGAAAACATTTTTACTTAGGTCTTAATTAAATAACTACACACAAAAGTAAATAATTTATGCAAAACTTTATTTCAGATTTTACTTAAAGAATACGTTACATTATTAGAGAGTGGGGTGAATGTACGGTTATGAACGTAGCGTTGGAGTTTATAAAAGTCAAAAAATGTGGTAACGTGGTTTAGGAATGGGACTTTAGAAAGCATTTTTCAATTTTTATTAGCGAGGAATATTTAGAAGGAAATTAAACTGTATAAAAATTGTTTAATAATAAATAAAAAATTATGCAAAGATCAATTAATGATTTTCCCTTATTCGTCACAAATCAAAATTATAGCACCAACGCGGCAGTCAGACGCCAGTTGATTTTATATTAAAAACTAACAAAAACAAATCCTTATTAATTCCATATTCACACACAAAAAAGTCAAATCGCTCGACACACTCAAGCCAACAACTCTATGTCTTCTCTCATCAACATCCAAAATTGAACTATGTACAAAAATGTGCTTTCGTCGTCTATTCATTTTCAAAACGAACCACACGAATCTTGTTTTTAAAAAAAATGAGTGGACTAAGTTTCCCATAAAAAATTGCCTTCACATTGTCACATTTAATAATTCTGATTTAATTATACATTGAGTTATATGTTCCATTTTAGGTAGATCATAAATAAATCGGATACATGCGGTCAAGCATCTCTTCAGTTTAGAATTCAATTCATCTGTTATGTCATCACAAACTATGCAACAGTAATAGTAGAAAGGCAGTATAAGGGTTTTAACCAGTAAAGTTCACGTAGCTATTGGAAGTGAATCCTCATTTCTGTTTAATTGCTGAAGTACCATGTAGGTTTCACTTGTAATTTTTTATATATGGTCCTTCCAAAATAAAACCCAAGATATAGGTTATTTTCAATTCACTAATAAAAAGTCTTTTATTTGCAAAAATATCAAGTGAAAAAGAATATAGTCCGATTCATGTGCCCGAAGGAAGAACATGATGTACAAAGCAAAGTTGAAACCAAAGATCTAAACTTTCATCCGAGAGTTCATTCATTCAAATCGGTTAATTTTTGGGTCAGCTACAAATGTTTTATCCTCAAACTCGCCACCTAGCTCAGCTTTTTCTAAATTATTAAATTAATAATATTATTATTAAAGTTAATTATCATAACTAGACAGAATTATAAAGAATGTTAAGTGAGAGACTACTTAGCAAACTACCACCACATGTCGATCATTAATATCGATTCATATGTCAAGTGAGAGGTCAGTTAATGTCCTCTTTGTGTCGTGAAGCTTGTCGAAACTATGAGGCCATGATAGAATATTATCGCTTGGCACTGGTTTGTAGATAGGTTGCTTTAAAAACCTGTTAAATTTTAAAATGAATTTCACAATAAGTGCACCTTTATGACAGCCTTCCTACACGGAAATATGATGCTCGTAAATTTATTGATGTGTCCAGACATTCACTCCTTTTTAATTTTTGATTTGTATTGAAAATTTCAAATTCTTATTTATGTCATTTCTCTAATTTAACCTAAATATTAGGGGGGCTTTCGCCTTCCTGCGCGTCAGCCGTAACCCCTCCAGCTCTGATTATTTAAATTTAAAAAATTAAAAAAATATATCCCTTATAAACAGTACTTTCTATTAAAAAAATTACTTTCAGAAGCGGAATTAGTTTTCAAAAGTTAAATATTAAAAATTATATGACCTCATATTACCAAAAAAGTATCCCTCTGGGCACGGAAACATCTTTGTTGTAGAAACGTTCCTAAAACGTATTTAGAACCTTTCATAACTTCCAAGGTTCTAAAAACGTTTTTAAGACGTTATGTAGAGGACATGAAACGTTCTTAAAACGTTTTAGAAACGTTTCTAGAACAAAGACGTTTCACTGCCCAGAGTATTACCAGTAATACAAATGAAGGGTTACATTTCAAACAAAAAGATATTTTTTTTATTTTAATAAATTTTTAAATCCTCCTAAGCAATATAAAGTACATATTCTACTTGTCTAAATTAAACAAAATGTTTTATATAAATTAAAACCACATGGAAAATTTTTTCCTAAAAGTAAAACGCATTTTTTTCGATACAAGATACACAATCGAATATATTAAGTATGCACTAGTTTTACGACTTTAAAACTTTCTTTAAAAAAAATAAAATCGACTCAAAAATGTTGTTCAGAATATGAAAAGAAAAAAATATCTCTAATTTTACAGATATTTTTTTCGATATCTGTAAATACGGTAAAAAAATAATAATTCCTGCTGATGATAAACTGAAGATATAAATATGAGTTTAAAAGTTTATTTCTTACTATAAAATTGTTTCACTTGTCGCTATTATCGATTAAGCAAACATTTTTCGTTCTTTATTTAAAAACGAAAGCAATTAAAATGGAATTTTGGGTTTTACCAGTACTGTAAGTATTTGTTTTATAATCTTAAAATAATTCGTTTTCTAAAGTTTAATCCGATTCTTTAGATGCATTTTTCCAACTCATGCATATTATGTCTCATAATCAAGGTCAAACTTTAATTATGTTATAATACCCATACATTTATATATACAGTAAGAGTATCTGACTATGAGTCACCCCTAAGCGTGAGTGCGAGTGAGCGCACATTGAACGCTGCATAAGAGTGTCCTCCTCGCACTCGTGGACTTTATACAAATACTATAATACAAATTGTTTTATTTTACCATAGCTAATGTACTACTAAGTACATTCAAAAAATTTTTAATTTCAATATCGAAAGCTAATTTTATTTAGAATGGGAAATTATAGAACTTTTATATTAGCACCACTTATTGTAAAAGATGTCGTCAGCATTAAGGAGAAATTGGACATAGAATCTGGAAAAAAGTTAATGACGTTAAGAGAAAATCTCTATTTTAAAAATAATGCTATATAGAAAAGTTTAAATATTAACCCTTTCAGTCACAGTGATCGATATATAGACAACCTTTTGGGATGGTTCCAAAAAATATAAAAACCCATTAGATTTGCTTAAAATTTGTTACTCGAGGGTTTTTGGGGTCGCTGATTACGAATCTAAAGTCAGATTTTTAGAATTCAAAATAGCTGATACCCCATTTTGAATTTTTAAAAACTAATACCAGATTCGTTATCAGCGACCCCAATAACCCCCCGAGTAACAAGTTTCAAGTGAATTTGTTAAATTTTTAAATATTCGTCCGCCATTTGGATCCGACATTTTGAATTTTTGTAAACTAATATGAGATGCGTAATCATCGACCCCAAAAACCCCCGTGTAACAAGTTTCTAGTAAATCTGTTTGATTTTTAAAAATTTGTCCGTCTTATGAGGTATTAAAATTTTTCATTAAATGTAATTTTTTCAGAACAAAAATCTCAACTATAAGCGGTCAATAAAATATTATTTTGGTTAATATAAACTAAAAAATTAAATCGTTTTTTTAGTTTTCAATTTATTCTTGTTGAATTGTCTATTATTATTTAACTCATTTATTAATTTATAAGTAATTAATTACTGATTTATTTAATTATCATTTTTGGATTTTAATTTATTAATTATTAACATATTTATTATTATTTATTTTATTTATTAATTATTTACTAATTTGTTTTTATTTCTCTCTATCTTATATATTCTTAATTAATTTTGGAGATCTTAAGAACGGAAAAAACTGGTCCCGGGGTTGTCCCAAGGTTGGCAAATGTAAAAAATTTGAAAAAAAATTCAAAGTTCTTCAGCCATGGTTTTGTCAATGAAAATATGAGAAAAAATTGATCCGAAGGTTGTCCCAGGGTTGGCAATTGTATAAAATTTAAAAAAAATTTAAAGTTCTTCAGCCACGGTAACAACAGGATTTTCCCATGCGCTGGGAAACGTTCATAAGCAAGGGTGGCGCCTGGGTGTGGATATTACTTGTACCGGAGTTGCGCCAAGGTTGGCACTTGATTTTTGAAACCTTTACTTCGGGTGGTGCCGGCATTGTTTGATTTTTAACCATATTTTAAACTATTTAGACAAAAATTCTTAAAGTATGTGAGCTGTTTTATTATATTATTAGAAACTCATCCCCAAGAATTTAAAGAGATTCTGACATTTTTTAATCTGTGTCCGATTCTTCCCTAAACTTCGACTAGACATTTTCAAAATCTGCCTAATACTTCCCAGATAGCATTTGCATGGCATGTTTGCAGCAACCCGTGTAGAAATATCCCTACTATGGCCATATTAGGGAATGAAACACACGGCCCGACCTGGGCCAAATCGGGGCGACGATCAAATGTGGATTTCCTGATCAGGGCCATATCGGGCCGTGTGTTTCATTCCCGAATAGGGAAGGCCCGATCAGTCCCTGATCCGGGCCATAGCGAAATTTCTACACGGGAAATTTGTGGCAAATTGGCAAATGTCCGCCTTGTGGAAAGTTTGCTGAGCAAACTTGCTACAAGTTTTCACAGAAAACTTGCAGAAAAGTTGTAGCAAACTTGCAGCAAACTTTCTAAAAACTTTAAAAATTTTCAAAAAAACCTTTTTGTATTCAAAATTTATTTATTTTGTGAAATGTTGCCTTCCCCCCTAGGGAAGGTGACAAAATGTAGTGCGCAGCTCTATATGTCATAGAAAACTAATGCGCAGACATTTTAATTCACTTTGCCACGCAAGTTTTCTGCAAGTTTTCTCCATAAACTTTACACAAGGCGGACATTTGCCAATTTGCTACAAATATGCTGCAAACTTGCATGCAAACTTTCTGAAAAATGTTGTGCTATCTGGGTTATGTTATAAACTTATACAAAACTTAAAGAATCCATTTATTCTTACTTTTTGGTTGTTCTGTATTAACCCTAGAAGGAAAAACCACTGTCAGCAAGCCACTCGCAATGGGCAAAACCCTCGCTTGGACCCTTGTATCGAATTGTTTTAAAGCGAAGTAATCTTTATTAAAAATGGTTGTTACAATTATTTTACTTTTAGTCTGCTGCACCATTGAAAAAACAGAACACTGGGTCTTCACACACTCGGTTTTTGTTTTGAATTGCAATGACGCTCCAGGTTTGGTAGCGTCGCGAGGGATTTTTTTTTAAAATTATATACGCTGTTAATTTTTAATAAAATCTTCAATCTATTTAAAAAATACCTTTTTGTATGCAGAAACATTAGATTTATGCCTTTTCTATCAATTAAACCATTTTTAATATCAAAAATAATTCATTAACTTTTTATAACTTAAATAGAAAACTGGCACTCCAGACGACGTTTAACACCACACCAATTAAAATTAAAGTAATACTATCATTAAATTTAGTATAATAAATTATATATTTCTAGATGTGTGTCTACAGTAGTTAATTGTGAAGAAATGGATTTAAGCCAACTTTGTAAGTATACATTACATTTTTAGAAACAAGAAATTCCAAGTAACAAAAATTTCACTCTGATTTTCATTTACAAAAATTAACTATACTTGAGTTTTATCATAACTAGTAAATTTTACTTGTAGCTGCTTTACTCTATAGTGGAATGGATCTCAATGTAGATCCATGTGACAATTTCAATGATTATGTTTGTAGTAAATGGCTTGAAAAAAACCCCAGTGTTGCGGAGTACATTACAAGCTGGGACACGGAGGATATGACTAAACTGAATTCATTTCAAATAATCAGAGGTAAACTTAAACTACAGTGAAAAAAAGATTACTGTATATGTGTTTACATTTTTTTGCCTTCAACATAGTTATATTATCAAGAGTTTTCCATTTTTAAGATATTTTAGAAAGAGATGATATTGTCGATGAAAAAAGCAAACTCTATTATGAAAAGAAATACTATGAGGCGTGCATTGGTAAGCTTAAATATTAATAGTTATTTTATTTATCATTAATTTACACTGTATATTCGGATGTGTACATATAATGCTTAATGTTTAAGTTTAACAATTTCTTTGCAGGTACTTCATTAACACAAGAAAGAGAAATTTATTTAGAAATATTTTCTGAAACTAACTGCATAGAACGATCATGGCAAGATGTGGTGAAATATTATGCTAAAATGATTGGTGAAACTTTTCTTTTTCAGATTATACTAGATGATAGTAAAAATTTGAATGCAAGTGTATTTATATCTTTAAGAAATTTATAATCGAAATTTAAATATTTTACATGTTTTATATTTAATTAAAATTGCGAAATTTATGATAATTAATTGTGTTTCCCATTTAAAAAATTGTAATTATAATACGAAAATTTTATGCAGCTTGTAGAACCATACAAAAGCAGGACCAACTTAAATCCATATGAGTTGTTTGACTTTAGTCTAGTAGACAACTTCTTTGAATATCGTTACAAAATTTCCAGTATAAAGAATAATGAATACAGGGAACCATTTCTAGAGTTTATGAAAAACATAAATGAGGTGAATTAAATATTCTAAATCGAAATTTAATCTAAATTTTCACTATCTTTTATTTAAATTTTATTCCATTTATATAGTGTATTGTAATTAAATTTTATAGTCAGATAGTGGTGAGGAAATGTTTACTTATTATTCATGATAATATCAAATTAATTATACTAAAAGTTTTGCAAATAAATTATTTACAGCTCGTATATAATGATGGTGAACTTCCAAGTAATAGTTATACTGTTGAAGAATTTCAAGAATTGTATGATTCCAATTGCCCTTCAATAAATTTCAATTCGAAGGTAAATAAAAATTCTTTCAACTTATGCATTACAAATCGTTCCACTTAAAAAACTTTGATAATTTTTACCACACTCAGGTTTATATCCTCAGTTAATATATATTTAAATTTTTGATTTCTCACAAAATATTAATATCATTTTTAGATAAATTGGACTGAATTACTTCAACTGCATGCTGGTGGAAACAAGAATTTTTTGCATCCAGCATTCAAAATAACAATTAATATTGATTATTTTAGTGAATTGTGTAAAATTTTAAGTAGTACATCATCCTTGACAGTTGGTAATTGTTTTTTATTTTTTAAAAACAACTTTCAATATACTTCTATGTGATTTAAATATAATATTTATTTTGCAGTTCAATACATGCAATTCAACTTTGAATATTCTTTCGACGTGTTTGCTTGTCTTCATAAGGGTATTGGTAAAAACACTTCGCCAGAGAGGTACACCATTCTTTAAACAGGGATTTCTCTATTTCTTTCTAGTTATTATTTAAAAATGAAGTCAATAATTTTTATTTATTGACAAATTTTTTTTTATTAGGAACGCATTGAGCAGTAAGTCATATAACTGTATAAACCATTTACCAATGACACACGGAATCAGTGAAGAAATAATGAATACTCAGGAATTCGTCAAACGAAAGACATATGTAAGATAATAATTGTCATGAAACAATTTGTATACGAAACTGCTTTTAATTTCGTCTTTTAATTTTATTAGGTGCAGAAACTCATGAAATATTTAAAACCCATATTAATTAAAGAAATTAACAATAGTTGGATTGACGATGAACAGAAAAATTACGCTCTTGATATAATACAAGAAATACAGTTAAATGTTGTGAATTTTAAGCAAGATTCAGACAGATACTATTTAGAGGATACATCAATTTCGTACAAAGTAAATAAATATTTTTTCATCCCACATTCACAGAAATAAAGCTTTTAGATAGCTGACGACAGGACATAAAGTCATTCATTTGTTAGACCGTATGAAAATGAACGCTATTTTCATACAAGTCGAACAATTGAATGACTTTTACTCCCTGTCGTCTGCTATCTGAAATCGACACTTTTATGCATTTTGAATAAAAAGTATCGTAAGTAACACGGAAACAAAGGCAGCCTAATTTCTTTACGATGATTTTTGTGACACAAATGGAGGTCGAGGACGCCCCGAGACGAGAAATAGCTGCCTTTCTCTCCTTGTTGCTTAATATACTATTATTGTATAAAACATGTAATGTTTACTCAATGAAGTTATTATTGTAATTTTATTTTTTTAGTTTGAAATTACTGATGTTGCTTTTAAGAATTTGATTAATTTTAAAAAGGCTCAAACTGTGCATAAATTTAAAAGGGCCCTAGGCAATCAAAATTTGATTAGAGACAATAAAAGGCAACATGTCAAAGATCACAGAGATAAAAAAAAACGAATTTCGGCGGTATTTAATATTTTTCAGTGACGTCATTTAAAATAAATATTTCATATAGCGCTATCAAAGTGTAAATGATTCCCTATAAGACGCGCAATCGTCTTTTATACTCCTTTGAATGTGGCGTCTGATTGGTCGCTTGGAAATAGAGTGGGGCGTGTGGAGACGCTTGCTAGTAGTGTTACGCTCCCTTCTCCTTCTCGCAGCAGCTAATCAGGCGCCACTTTCCAAGAAGTATAAAAGAAGACCGCGCGTCTCACCGAGTGACACTTTCTTTTTGGCTGTCTCTGAAGAATCTTTCCATTTTTTTGTTTATTTTTAAAGTAGGGGAGACTGGGGTAAACCCGCTCACAGGGTAAACCCACTCACTAGCGATTTGACGCTATGAAGTTAACTTAAGATAGAGATATTGGTACTATGAATTCAACGTAGAATCAGAGGCGATCAAATGTTTTTAGAGGTGTCAGAAAAAAACGTTTGTTGGATTTTTAAGTTTCTCCATCATTATTTTCTAGTCTTAATTTATTTGTCAAATTTTTTTTGTTGCTGTTGGATGTCCTTCGAAGTACATATATAGTTTTGTCTTATTTCAAAAAAATTTAATTAAATTTATTCTGAAATGTAAGAAACACACTCGGGGTAAAGTCGCTCACGTGAAGTCGGGGTAAAGCCGCTCATTTAGTTTTTAATTTAAAATTTGTAAAAAAATAATTTTTCACGTATTATATTTTAACAATAACAGAATTTATGACTTGTTAAAATCAAAATTGTAACTACATTTCACTTTCTCTTAATAAAATATATAACATTATTTAAATCCATAGTTGTATTTCATGAAACATATATTTATTATTTATTAAACCAATTTGTTGTTTATAGAATTATTTATAGAACTTATGGTTTATCAATAATAAATCATACTTAAGACGGGAATAAGACGAATTTTAATATATAAAAAATAAAACTGTTCTTAGTTTCTTAATTTTTACCGATCTGAAAAGAGTGAGCGGGTTTACCCCAGTCTCCCCTAATATTTAATTCTAATTACTGTAAAGTAAATATAAATTTTTCTTCATGATTGGTCAAATTATATCAATATATATTTATCTATATCATAATATTACTTTATGAATATCATTTATGTTTATAAATTTGACTTATAAAATTATTTATGAAAACTTGTTAAAAGAACGAAGAGAGAAATAGAAATGATCGAGCAATATGAAGAAGATCTAAATGCAATTAGTAAGTAACATTAAAATTTGGTAAATGTCTTTTTGAATAGATATAAATGTCTAACCGACATCCAAAGAACACATCTTCTTGGTACCTTAAAAATTAACATTAATGTAATCAACGATTGCATAATTATATGTAACTTTACAATTACATTTCACATATTTATATATATCTATTTATTCTTTAAGTGCTATCACCATCATTTTTATACGCACCTCATTTTCATCGAAAAGCACCAATGTGAGTTACTGAAGTATTAAACAATCAAAAATTATAAATAGATTAAAATGGATTTTTATTTTTAAAAATTTCAACAGCGCCTATAATTTGGGAAAAATGGGATATTCTTTCGGACATGAAATGTCTCACTCATTTGATATTGCATACCTTTCAAACAATTTTGAAAGTAATTATAATAGAATTTACATATAATTTTACCCGGCTAATAAAAATGCAGCTCTATAATATTAAATTCTACTCTTTTTATAATGTAAACATTAAGTTCTCTTTTATATCTGAATAACTAATTATATTATTTACAGCTCATTGGGAAACGAAGAATCCAGACTTAAAAAATATATTTAATGATAAGAAAGCTTGTCTCGTGAAACATTTTGATAAATTAGGGGTAATTATTAGCGCCGAATATAATTAAATTGTTTTTTAAAAATACTTCCTTAATTTATAAGTAATAAAGAAATTGTTTCTAAACTCTTGAAATTAAGTAGAACAATTTTAATTATGTTTGATAATCTTTTTTTTAACTTTCAAATTTAGACGGATGGTACAGCTTCCTTAAATGAAAATTATGCCGATTTAGCAGGATTAAAAGTGGCATTTAAAATGATGAGACAAATGATTGACGCTAATCCATCATTAGGAAAGAAAACATCACATTTTGAAAGATTCAACGCAAACAAATTGTTCTTCATTTCGTTTGCAAATGTATGTATAATAGTATTCAATATGCTTAAAATTGTGAATAAAAAATATTTGATTCCTTAAATTGTATGTATAACATATAACTAAACTTTCCTTATAATAGCAACGAAAACTATTTTAATTTGTTACTCTTTGAACAATTGAAAAACTACATAAAAATTTAATTCATACTAATATTCTGACAGTATTTTTGTGAAAAGCCTAAAGTAAATAATGATCTGGATCATGCACCGAACGCATTAAGGCTCATTGGATCTTTACAGAACATGAAAGAATTTTCAGAAGTTTTTAAATGTAGAGAAGATCATTTTATGAATCCAAAAGACAAATGTGACTTCTGGAGTAATGAAAATCTTGTCTAGAATTATAATTATTTACAATTATTACAAACATATTCCTTCTATCTGATTATTTTAAAAGAAAGCCTATATTAGAAACCATGCGATTAACAGCCTATAGTCAACTAGATTTGTTGTAATTGTTTTATTATAATAATTAACGGAAAACGAAAAATAATTTTCTTTGTAATCGGCTTTTCTGTATTCTAATAAATAGTACCTTAAAAAAAAAAGTTTGAATTTTCATTTGCATATTTAAAACTAACGCATACGCTATCACGGTGTAAATGGTGCTCCGTAGACTGTGGGGATTGTATTTATACTAGTCGTGAGTTGAGGGAGTGGAGGAAGCGTTCTCTCATTGGTTGCGCCTCCCACTTCCTGAAAAGCATCACCGCTCCGCCCCACTGTTTCTCACAGCGACCAATCAGGCGCCATTTTGGTCATGTCTTTGAAGGTACCCTTATTATATTGAATGCATTTTTGTAAAAATGAATTTCATTTTAAATTTTATTGTTCAATCAGTGAATAATTTACAAGCGTAAAATAAAATATCACTTTTCTATTTATTATATATCCTAATTTCCAAAAACGTCCATATGATATCCTGAAACATCTGTTGATGCTAAGGTAACAATTTTTTAAGAACATTAAGCTGTCATTGCAAACTTCTTATTGTTAGTTGCGGTATCATTTTTTTTATTTTTCGCCCTGTCACTATTTAAGGGACCCTTAAACATAATTTTTATTATGTACAACAGCATTAATCTGCTATCATGATATTCATTATTTTTATAAGCGTTTGATTATCTTAGTTGAATATTGAAAAAGCAATTCAGGTCATCATTTCAAAAATGTTATGGACTGTGTAATGTGTTTTTGGTAACATAGACCAAAGCAAACCGTTAAAACTTTCATTATTTTTCTGTGTATTTCTACCCAAATAGCATGTTAAAAGTTCGAAATCCGTCAAACTTTCATTAACAGGTTTAACAAATTCACAAACTTTAGAACTTAATACTGCGACTTGTGAACAAATCGCTCATCCATTGCATATGCATCTAAATAACCACACCAACTAACATTACAGTTTTGGTGTTGCGGTTTGTCATCAATCGAGATCTTATGATAGAAAGTTGCCCAAATTTCTTTTTGCACATCATCTACAGAGTCAGGATGTCTTTGTATTTCCAAACGATAGTACAAAGACATTTCTTTTATAACTTTTCCTATAAGTTTTTATATCTCTGTCTCGAATGTAGTGGGAATATTTAACGTTGTGAAGCCATTCTGATCGCTGGAACATGGATAGCATTCCATTGACTTCCATTTCTCATGAACTTTCTTTATAGTTTGCAGAACAAATAATATTTTTGATTATACAGATAGTGTATTTGATTATATATTTATGCTATCTAGCTTGGACAATTCATTTTTCTCTGCTACAATTAAATGTTTTAAATTGAAGATGAGTATGAGCAACCTTCAAACAATTAGCTTGAGCGAAATTTTGCTTTAATAGCATTCTTTTATGAATTATATTCACTAGCACTTTCATTTTAAGGAATTAAATAAAAAAAAAACGAAAAGTAATTTGCTCTGTATCTAGAAAGATTTAACAAGAACAGTCAAAGCAAGTCAAAGAAAGCGAGAATCGCATTAATGAAAAGAACTCAGAAAATCGATTTCTGGTGCCACACAAAACAACAGTGAGTGTAAATCGAGTCGAATGATTCTCCTCTAGCAGTTTAGATTAGCGAAAGAAGTGAATGAGTGATTGCAATCTGTGGACCATCCGCTTCTTTTCTCAGTGCAGTGGCGGAATTTCAATTTTAGATAAAATGTATCAACAAAATTCAATGATGATAAAATGTTTCCAAAGATTTCTATAATCGGAGAAAAGAGGTATGAGGATTTAAATAAGCAAACGAAACTAATAGCCCAGGAGGAGATAAAAAGTAACTCAGTATTGTTCCTTTTTTCTACTCGTTTAGAAGTTATTCAAGTGAAAGATAGCAACCAAGAAGAAGTATGACAATGGTTAAGAAAAGAAAAAAAATTGTAAGAGAAATTGGATAACAGGAGATAATGGTAAAATTCACAGAAAATTTTTCTCAAGTTTACCATGAAATTATAAAATATTGTACATTCGTTTACTTTAATATAAGACATTATTTTTCTACTGTTTATGAAACTCAGTGAATAAATTTGTAGAGAATATTTCCAGAAGTAAGATAAGCCATTGTTTGATAAAATATGGATAAAAAATGCAGTTGTTCATGAACTCCAATAAACATTATAATAATTATCAACTAAAAATACATTTTTTACAATTGCACAAATAGATCATTCATATTTTGTTTCACAATTATTTTAAAAGTGTATTTCTATTTTATAAGATAAAATTTATTTTTAATTTTAAAATAATTCAATCGATTTTAACCATCTTTGACGCCATATGGACGCCATCTAGTACAATACGTTTAGTGAATTTCAAATTTATTTATCTTGAACACACCTTATTTGAACCACAACAATCAGAATCTTTTATGTATATAAACAAGGATGGCTTCATATACCGACTGTTTTACTATAAAAAAAAAACTTAAAGTGAAGCAGAATATATATGAAGGCATGCCTGAATATATTAAATAACCAGATTTTTCCAGGAGAAAATGATTCTTACGATTTTTGTTCAAAATTTTGTTCAGAGTTTGTGCGGACATCCCATGAAACATCTATTTGTATGGCGTTTTGAAACATTCTTCCCTACGAATTATGAATGAATTTTTGTTAAATTTTGCGAATTTTGCACGAACATTCGACTGGGTATTCATATGAAACTTGAACGAAGAATTGTTTGCGTACGAGAATTCATACCTATATCTCCAATTTCGGGAAACTCAGGTACATTTTTATAATAGCGGACAGACAGAAATGATATAAATTTCTTTTACTTTAAAAATAAGCTTGGGGTTCGGGAATCAGGTCATGTTTATCAATTTAGAGTATATGTCTATTGAATAAAATCTAAATAAAAATTTTTACAAAGCAGCTTACCAGGGAGATATGTAAATCGTAATATCCAGGGTCCTTTGGATCACCCTTCTTAGAAAACATAGTTGTAATCAGAAAACTCCAATCTTTAGGAATTTTTTAGAATCATCTTCTTATATTCAAAATTTAAGTTGTTCGAGAATAAAACTATTCATCATTGGATAGGTATGTAAATATATATTTCATATTAATTTATAATCAGAATTAAAAAATAAAGTATAAAGACGATGAAATGTTTGTCAACCCTTTCTACTTTATTGCTTATAATATAAAAAGGTCTAAAAACCCCTTTTATTTGTTTTCAAATAAGCAAGAACCTACTTTAATAGATGTTGTTCAGAAAATTTATTAAAATTTTGTTAATGATAGGAGAAAATCTCAATGTTGCGATGGGTGAAGTGAAGTGGAATAAAGTGAGGCGGTATGGAGCACTAAGTGTAAACTGGTATGTGCTCTTAAATGGCCCGCGCATAACGACATGAGAAATGGTACTGTTTTGACAGTCGACTGTTTCATCGGCTGCAATTTGAAACTTACTCGAATTGTCGACGCCGCAGAAACTCACGACCAACATTACAAACTTAGGGTATTAATAATATCCTCTGTTCCAATAATTCTCTCTGTTTCTCAAAGATTTAGTTAAAATGCATTATATTTCAAATACTTTTCAACTACTTTTGTGTAAAATGAAGAAACACATTTAAAACAAATACTACAAATTAATTATATTATTAAAGTTCTTTAATTCTTATGTAAAATATAGTTTTCAAAAATTCATGTATGTTTATAGTTCAAATTAAAATCCTAACCATAATTGAATGTCAGAATTAACCCCATCATTTGTTAGTGCATTCTTGCTATTTCCACGTTAGGTAATATGAGATTCGGAGCAGCAGAGTCCAGATATCGATTTATCCACTGTAGAATTTCTGTTTTAGGTTTCCCTTCTTTTCAATTTATATATTTCGTTATTATATTTACTATTTATTATTTGAGTTAATAAATAATATTTATCACTATTATCATTGTTAGCTTTGACTGTTCCGTCTCGGTACTAGGATTTTTTTTA